TTTCTTCCATCTCTGGAGAAGTTTTGAAGTGTGGTAGCAAAGCGAGGATTTGACATTTAACTTGTCTCTTTCTGATCTTTCCCAAGCAACCTGCATCCTTTCTGTCATCCGTGAGAAGCACAGAGCCCTGGCTGGAGAGGAGGGCCTATTTGCCCAGCTGTTCCACATGCAGGTTCTTCAAAATTTTGGACAGAACCTGCAGGACAGGAAGGGCCCCAGCCATTGTGACTGAACTGCAGGCTGGGGCCACCTCAGTTACCGCAAATACTGCAAAACCAGAGTGTTAATGAGAGAGAGAGAGAGAGAGAGAGAGAGAGTGCTTCTGTTCTGCCTTCCAGGTTTGGTGTAGGGCATCCAGCACTGAAAGCTCTTTGGGACTGGGACTATCTCTTGCTATGTGTACGCACAGTATGGAGCACAATGATGCCCTGATCTCAACTGGGGCCTCTAGGGGCTATTGTAATACAAACAATAATACACTTTCATATACAAATAGTCAGCAAGGGTCCTGTTCCAGGGAGCTTCCTCTATGAGGATTCATGCACATGACTATACAGTCCAAGTAGAGACACTATGACTATATCCCACAGCTGAGAGAACCTCTATAAAATAAATAAATGACTTATGGAGCGTTAGTGTGAGTGGAACTGATGTCCCTCAGTGAAACGATTCTTTAGCCAGCAATGGAAGCTACAATGCTCCTCCTCCTACATGCAGGCTATTGCTGGACATTCACCTAGAAGGAGCAGGCATAGGAACTTCTGACAAGCCAGGAGGCTGTGCATGCTTGCAAGGTGATTGGTGGAAGCTACATGTCCACTTGGCCATTCTTGGCAGCCTAACTGCAGCCTGGCTTCTGAGTTTCGTGCCCAAGGGTCTGCTGCACAACATGCATTTTCCAAGGATGTTTATGCTGTTATCAAAAAGAAAAGGAGGACTTGTGGCACCTTAGAGACTAACCAATTTATCTTAGCATAAGCTTTCGTGAGCTACAGCTCACTTCATCGGATGCTGTTATGTTACAGATCCGTGCTTCAGTATGAGGCCTGTTCTCTTTTGTGTCTTCTCTTCCCCTTTCTCAACCGACAGGTTGCGAAGCACGGACTGACAGCATCTGAGGTAAAATTAATTAACTGATAAGGAAACATGGTGTTCAAGACAGCAGCCTCTCCCATCGAAGGTATAAGCATGTGACTATACACCTACATGTCTCAGATACTTGTTCTGAGCTCAGCTCTTGCCATTCACATTAGGGAGGGATGAAACATTTGCAGTGTCTGGAGTTTAGGGTTAATTTTAGTTGCTTAGAGCCACCATTTTGACAGGACAGGATGAGCTCTTTAATGAGAAGTTCAGAAGTTCTAATATGGCAGGAAATCAAGGTGGCCTGAGTCTCTCTGCATTCAATGTGGTGTCACCAAAGTAGCTGAATCCCACCACAGGAGAGGAGAGAGAAAATGAGACTCTACCTGAAATCTGAATTTATTAAGAGGTTCCAAAAACTATTCCAAGGATTGGGAAAACAGGATGGGGAATATAATATTAAATTGGTACCAAATACTAAACCCTTTGCCATGTCAGCATCCAGAGAACTCTCCCTTTTACTAGTGTGCAGGGTGAAAGAAGAAATGTGGGTGAAGTTTCCAGAAAAGATTGGTGTGCAGGTAGGCTGAGAATCCCAAGGCCAGACTGCAATGTTCAGATCTGTGTAGTCCCTAACAAGCTTAATGAAAACATCTCTGCAGGAAACAGTATGTATTTTCATGCATAGAAAGCATCAGAAGATAGCTCAAGAATGAAGACTGGCATGTAAAGAACCATCAAAGTTCCCAGTGAAACTCACTCAAGAAGCATTGTAGAACCCAGTGCTGCTCTTTACTTCTCAGTCCATTCTGCATAAACAACTTTATGTCTTATTTACACCTTATTTGTGGTTTTGGTTTAATAAGACAACTATCACTTGCAGTCTGAGTTCTCAGGAAGGTATTTGGAGGGGATATAGTTGAAGTCTTTTCAACTAGTGAGTGAGACCAATGCTAAGCTGTTTAACTGGACCTGGCTGATTTTTCCATCTGGAAACTGGTAGCTAGAGAGAATCATTTCCAAGCCCCTGCTCCAACTGTCCATATTTATCTATTGCTGTTAAACTCGAGATGAAGCAAATGAGAACACAGTGCAACTAATACAATGACAGTTACAGATATCCAAGGCATCTGGTCCAGAGACAAAAGCCCTGACTGGATTTCATGAGCTTTTGGCACCACCAGTGAGTGGCTTTGCCCTCCAGAGCAGGATGGTTTAACAAATCCAAAGGGGCAGGGTGCCCCTTCTCCCCTCAAAAGGGGAGTCTCCCTCATCAACCATAGCTGGAACTAAGCTAACCAGTGGGTATCATTTACAGAATGCTAATGCTTTAAAACCACTCTTCCAGCAGGTTCCCTGATATTTGGAGTGTTCTTATCATCTGAATCTTCAGGGTGGTTCCCAGAACTTGGGGCATGTGATTCCATACCAGGTTATTATTCAGTACCAGATATTAGCCAGTTGTATCTTGCTGCAGCAATGTTTGTCTTCTCATTTCTTGGGGGCACAAAGGGTTTTGAAATATTCAACAATTCTGTACTCTGAACATTTCAGAGAGATGGCATAAAGTTGACTCCTATTCATTATTCACCAGCATTCAAACAGCAGATTATTTTGTGAGGTGGAACCTTAAAACCAAAGCTGTGTGTAGATATTACAAACCTCCTGGCAGTTTTCACCGGCACAGAGGTTTGCCTTGTCCTGCTTGGCCAAACGTTCCCCACACACAAACATTGCTCCACTTTCTAACCCAGAAGTGGCAGCCTCTCGGTGGAGCTGTATGTACAGAGTCTGTGAAATGCCATGGAATCATTTGGGAATGAAGGTGCTATATAAATGGTATGATAGCCATAGGAGTAGAATGGAAGCGACTCACGGGGCACATTTAATAATCAGCAACATTTTCGTCTCCGAAGACATTGCAGAGCAGTTCTCTATCCCTTTAATGACAGGTTTCAGAGTAGCAGCCGTGTTAGTCTGTATCTGCAAAAAGAAAAGGAGGGCTTATGGCACCTTAGAGACTAACCAATTTATTTGAGCGTAAGCTTTCGTGAGCTACAGCTCACTTCATCGGATGCAATCTAACCTTTTCTATCCCTTTAAGGAGCCGCCGAAGGCTAAGTGAGCTGCTATGTCATGGGTAGGTGCCGTCACTGTGCTGGTGCCTGGAAACCAGGAAACAACTGCGCCATCTAGTGTCACTACCGTTGCAAGTGGGGAAATAAAGCGCCTAACACTAGAGGCTAATTCGATTTGGAAGCGGTTTGCTGGGGTGTTGGCAACAAAGGTAAGGGCTGAGGATGAGGGGCTTTAATCCTTGATGGTGCTCCTTTAACTAAGCACAGTGTGTAAAATGTACACACATTTTCAGCTTTGCAAATACCGCTAAACCCCAAGAGAGGGAGTCAGGAGGGGAGGACGTTTCCTTCTCTTCTCGGTGCCCACTTCCAGTCTCTTCTCTCCCAGTATTTTCTCTCTGGGTCTCTGTGGCACTGGTTCCCCTTGCCCTAATCTCCTCAGTGCTGCCTCCCTGTAGACCCATCAGCATTTGGAAGATATTAAATGGAGAGAGAAATCTGGAGAGACATATAGGGCTGCACCTTTGGACACTGCCACTCATTGGAGACACTCCATAGGGGACTGGGCGAAAAATATTGTGTGTGGGGCGGGGCAGGGGAGTCTTTCTCCATCCTAAATAGAGACACTTTGCACGTAAGTCTAGCAGCTCAAGCTTCAGGGCTTCACTTGCAGCTCTCCCTGCCCCTTGAGATGCTGCGCCGTCTCGAGGAGGGGTGTCACAACTCTCTATGTTTGTTAGGGCAATTCAGATATGGCAGGCTGAACTGGTGTCTTCTTTTCATTGCTTTTTTGTAACTTTCGATATGTTTATTATTTCTTATAAATGTTTAGTCCTTCTAAGTTATTAGCCTGAATAATATCTTATGGTAATAAGTTCCCCAGGCTAATTATGCCTTGTATTTTTTTAATTCCTTTGATTGGTTTTAAACTTGCTGCCTTTTAATTTCACTGAGTACCGTAATATATCTAGATACAGCACAGTTGGTAAAACACAAGGTGGTGGCCAAAGCAACGCTTCTCCCAGCTTTTGTCTGTTTCATGTCATTGTTGTATAGTTTGTGTTGCTATAGAATTCCCCACTATCTGGAATATTAATAATGGAGTCACTGTGTGGTGTTGGTTCCAGGGTTTCAGCTCTGGGATGGCTCTCTCCTGCTCACTGAGACTGATACGCCTGCGCTCTTGCTGGCCGCTGAGTCTGAAACAGGCGTCTTTGAGCACTGCACCAGATGAGCACTGCAGACAGGTGGCTGGGAGGAATGAAGGACGAGGAAAAGGTGGATGAAGGAGAAAAAGCCTAGACAGGGCTGCAGGCCTGGAGTCCTCCTGGAAAGAGAGGTATAGAACTTATGCAGCATATGCTGTGCGAGCCCAAGGAATTTGCACCGTTTCTGACTGCAGATCAGGTGTTCATAACTGTACGGGAACCAAATTACAACAATAAGAACTAACCACTCACTCTCTGGAGTGGGAAGAGTTCAAGTGTGCACAGATCAGTGTCTAGGGTTGATCTACACAACCAAAGTAGCAAAGTTTAACAAAGACCTTGTCTACACAAAAAGGAAAGTTGTAACTTCAGCTACACTGGCAAGTCCCCAGCACAACCATTTTGCATTTAACACACCCCACACAGTTACTCCCAGTAATGCAAATGTTCACACCTTCAGAGGGATAGCACACTGCTGCTACATTTCAACATGTGACTCTGCACTACTGAAGTGCTAGTGTAGATAGCAAACGCTGGTGCAGCAACTGCACCAAGTGCAATTAGCCCTTCCAGTGTAATCCAGCTATGCTTCTGCCTACTCTGTTGACAGCTTGAAGCACTGGCTTCATCACCTGATAAGATGGCTGCATGCCAACCCTAGAGCAGCTCACACAGCAAGTACTTACCTGATGTCAGCTGTGCTCAGCTCTCCCTTCTCCGAACCTCTTGGGGCAGGATAAAGAAACATTGAGATGGTTTCCCTAGAGTGCAATCTGAGAAATAATAACAGAACAAGAGAGAAATTAAGAGGCACAGGTAAGGGGGAAACAACATCATAGGTACATAAGACTTGCCATGCTGGGTAAGACCAGAAGTCCATCTAATTTGCCAGCCTGTCTCTGACAGAGGTCAATACCAGAAGTTTCAGACAAAGGTGTAAGAAGCCTAACAAGAGAAAATTATGGTATACCTGTCTGTAGAGTAAGGTCATGCTAAACCCAGAGAGCAAGTGGTTGGTGTATATCTTGAAATACGTTGGTTTATATACTTTTTTCATTCTTATCCTTATTTTTAATGTAATCCTTTTTTATGGGTCCTCTTAATTGCTCTGCCTCAATAATACCATGTGGCAGAGAGTTTCACAGATTAATTATGAGCTGTCCAGTAACATGTAGAATTCTGTTGCCTAGGTGGTTAATCAATGTGTTTAAGCAGTTCAGATTTTCCCTTCCAATATGTATAGCAGTGCAACGGACAACACTGTTAAGATGTTTGCAGAAGAGAGGTGACAATAGATGGAAAGATGATCTGGTGGAAGATACAGGATGGATATCTCAAATGACAAAATCTAATTAATAAGGGTAAGATTGGGGGATGCGACAAAGTGAGACCATTGTCAGAGTGGACAGAGCAATTAGTGCAGTGAGACAAGGTCTGTGAGGTAGGCTGGAGGAAGCCCATGGAGGGTTTTCAAAATAAGGAGTGTTAAGAAGGCAACATGATCTCTTTAAGAAAAGGAGTACTTGTGGCACCTTAGAGACTAACCAATTTATTTGAGCATGAGCTTTCGTGAGCTACAGCTCACTTCATCGGATGTATACCGTGGAAACTGCAGCAGACTTTATATACACACAGAGAATATGAAACAATACCTCCTCCCACCCCACTGTCCTGCTGGTAATAGCTTATCTAAAGTGATCAACAGGTGGGCCATTTTCAGCACAAAGCCAGGTTTTCTCACCCTCCACCCCCCCACACAAATTCACTCTCCTGCTGGTGCTAGCCCATCCAAAGTGACAACTCTTTACATAATCAAGTCGGGCTATTTCCTGCATAGATCCAGGTTTTCTCACATCTCCCCCACCCCCATACACACACAAACTCACTCTCCTGCTGGTAATAGCTCATCTAAACTGACCACTCTCCAAGTTTAAATCCAAGTTAAACCAGAACATCTGGGGGGGGGGGGGTAGGAAAAAACAAGAGGAAACAGGCTACCTTGCATAATGACTTAGCCACTCCCAGTCTCTATTTAAGCCTAAATTAATAGTATCCAATTTGCAAATGAATTCCAATTCAGCAGTTTCTCGCTGGAGTCTGAATTTGAAGTTTTTTTGTTTTAAGATAGCGACCTTCATGTCTGTGATTGCGTGACCAGAGAGATTGAAGTGTTCTCCGACTGGTTTATGAATGTTATAATTCTTGACATCTGATTTGTGAGCAACTACAGCATTTGCTCAAGAAACTTCCTGAAAAAGCACAAGATCAAATCCGCACAGACACACCCCTGGAACCCCGACCTGGGATATTTTATCTACTACCCAAGATCCATAAACCTGGAAATCCTGGGCGCCCCATCATCTCAGGCATTGGCACCCTGACAGCAGGATTGTCTGGCTATGTAGACTCCCTCCTCAGGCCCTACGCTACCAGCACTCCCAGCTACCTTCGAGACACCACTGACTTCCTGAGGAAACTTCAATCCATCGGTGATCTTCCTGATAACACCATCCTGGCTACTATGGATGTAGAAGCCCTCTACACCAACATTCCACACAAAGATGGATTACAAGCCGTCAAGAACACTATCCCCGATAATGTCACGGCTAACCTGGTGGCTGAACTTTGTGACTTTGTCCTTACCCATAACTATTTTACATTTGGGGACAACGTATACCTTCAGATCAGCGGCACTGCTATGGGTACCCGCATGGCCCCACAGTATGCCAACATTTTTATGGCTGATTTAGAACAACGCTTCTTCAGCTCTCGTCCCCTAAAGCCCCTACTCTACTTGCGCTATATTGATGACATCTTCATCATCTGGACCCATGGAAAAGAAGCCCTTGAGGAATTCCACCATGATTTCAACAATTTCCATCCCACCACCAACCTCAGCCTGGTCCAGTCCACACAAGAGATCCACTTCCTGGACACTACAGTGCTAATAAACAATGGCCACATAAACACCACCCTATACCGGAAACCTACTGACCGCTATTCCTACCTGCATGCCTCCAGCTTTCACCCTGACCACACCACACGATCCATCGTCTACAGCCAAGCTCTGCGATACAACCGCATTTGCTCCAACCCCTCAGACAGAGACAAACACCTACAAGATCTCTGTCAAGCTTTCTTACAACTACAATACCCACCTGCAGAAGTAAAGAAACAGATTGATAGAGCCAGAAGAGTTCCCAGAAGTTACCTACTACAGGACAGGCCTAACAAAGAAAATAACAGAACGCCACTAGCCGTCACCTTCAGCCCCCAACTAAAACCCCTCCAACGCATTATTAAGGATCTACAACCTATCCTAAAGGATGACCCAACACTCTCACAAGTCTTGGGAGACAGGCCAGTCCTTGCCTACAGACAGCCCCGCAACCTGAAGCAAATACTCACCAACAACCACATACCACACAACAGAACCACTAACCCAGGAACTTATCCTTGCAACAAAGCCCGTTGCCAATTGTGCCCACATATCTATTCAGGGGACACCATCACAGGGCCTAATAACATCAGCCACACTATCAGAGGCTCGTTCACCTGCACATCCACCAATGTGATATATGCCATCATGTGCCAGCAATGCCCCTCTGCCATGTACATTGGTCAAACTGGACAGTCTCTACGTAAAAGAATAAATGGACATAAATCAGATGTCAAGAATTATAACATTCATAAACCAGTCGGAGAACACTTCAATCTCTCTGGTCACGCAATCACAGACATGAAGGTCGCTATCTTAAAACAAAAAAACTTCAAATCCAGACTCCAGCGAGAAACTGCTGAATTGGAATTCATTTGCAAATTGGATACTATTAATTTAGGCTTAAATAGAGACTGGGAGTGGCTAAGTCATTATGCAAGGTAGCCTGTTTCCTCTTGTTTTTTCCTACCCCCCCCCCCCCAGATGTTCTGGTTTAACTTGGATTTAAACTTGGAGAGTGGTCAGTTTAGATGAGCTATTACCAGCAGGAGAGTGAGTTTGTGTGTGTATGGGGGTGGGGGAGATGTGAGAAAACCTGGATCTATGCAGGAAATAGCCCGACTTGATTATGTAAAGAGTTGTCACTTTGGATGGGCTAGCACCAGCAGGAGAGTGAATTTGTGTGGGGGGGTGGAGGGTGAGAAAACCTGGCTTTGTGCTGGAAATGGCCCACCTGTTGATCACTTTAGATAAGCTATTACCAGCAGGACAGTGGGGTGGGAGGAGGTATTGTTTCATATTCTCTGTGTGTATATAAAGTCTGCTGCAGTTTCCACGGTATACATCTGATGAAGTGAGCTGTAGCTCACGAAAGCTCATGCTCAAATAAATTGGTTAGTCTCTAAGGTGCCACAAGTACTCCTTTTCTTTTTGCGAATACAGACTAACACGGCTGTTCCTCTGAAAAATGATCTCTTTACTCTTTCTCTCTCCCCTGACTGTTTAGTAGTAGGAATTTGTTTGTATTTTGCATAATTATGAAGAATAATAATGTAGCATGTATTAAATGTATTGATGTATAATTTGACCATATCCTGCCAGCCACCCTTTCTGAGAGCAGAAAGGAATGGCCTGGTGTGCCATTGGTAGATATGCATCAGCCAGAATTTTGTGTCTGAAGCTGATTTCAAGGCAGTAACAGACCTTTTAGGGTCACTACTTTGTTGTAGGTTTAGCATTCTAAAATAAGTAAAAGAGCAGGAGGTTGGACTAGATGACCTCCTGAGGTCTCTTCCAACCCTAATCGGCTATGATTCTATGAATGCAATGATTGTTTTCTCTTGCATTGCAATTTGATGTTCCTGTTCAAATGCTCTGTGTAAATCAGTCCTGTTTTGTGTGTGAATGAGGAACATCTGTGTTAGAAGATAAGTATGAAGGCCATCACTGGACCAGATATCCTAGGGAGAAATCGAGGACGGACATAAACATGCCAGGAGATTGCAACACGCCCTTATTTAAATGTCAGAGGAGGGCAGATTGACGACTCTAAAAATAAGACAGGCACCTATCAATGGGGACAAAATAGCTGTGAGCAAAACCAGCATCGGGTAACTCCCTGAGAGACTAATGAAAGAACAAAATAAAAAATGAGAAAAACAATTTAAGAAAACAAGCACTCGTCAAATGATAATTGATTACAGCATGATGGTGCAAAACTCATTTGTCCCAGTGAAGAAAAATCACTATATAAACAGGTGCCATGCCATGAAACTTTGGGTTCGTCCTGCCAAGACTTCCCTGGAGCATTGTGTTGCAACCGACAGAACCTCTGAGCAGGGTGTTAAGGGTGCCGGGCTGGGGCCGAGGGGTTGGATAAGGGGCAGAGGGTCTTGGGGGCGGTTAGAAGCTCCCCCCCACCAGGGTCTGGGAGGCAGGAGCTGTGGGGGGCACTTTTGGGGGCCCCGCAGTCTCAAAGTGGCCCAGGGGATTAGCAGGGGGCCGGAAGCAAGCCGCTTTGCTTCTCTCGTCCCGGCCCCGGCCGTGTCGTTCGGGAGAGGGGGCTTGGGGAAAGGGATCCCCCCTTCACTCACCTGATAAAACTTGCATCATGTCAGAAAGTGGAGGGAGAGGCAACAGGAATACTGAAAATGGAATTTCACTGCTACCCCCTATTTCTTACCCATATCCTCAAACCTGCAATCCAACTATGCTCCCATCAGGACAATTCTTTCAGAGACTGACAAATAATAGTGATATTTGTTTGGGCAGCCCTTCTACAGACACCATTTTAGGGTGGCTATGTCTTCATTTGATTATTTCAAAGTACTCTGGAAACATTAATAAATTATGCCTTGCACAACTCCTATGAGGCAGGTAAATAAATATTTTACCCCTCTTTTACAGATTGGGAAACTAAAGAACAAAGCTGGAGTGACTTTCCCAAGATTACAAATAGAAGGTCTCACTCCCAGTCTTCTGTTTTGACCACAACCATTAATTCCAGATTTTGAAAGTGACAGAAGTTTTGTAAATGATCACTTCAACTTCCTAAAGTGTTCACAGAAAATAATAACTCAAAGGTGGTGCTTTAGATTAGAGAAGAAATCAGTTAGAGAATTGCTCTAGATCGAGATCTGGTCTAGATCAATGGATGTGGGGTGCGGGGGAATGTTCTCCCTGTGTGTTAACACTGTACTAAAAGGACGTTAAATAAATTGGCTCTTTGTTGAAAATCCTGTTCTCTAATGGATTCTCTTGTTATATCCCCTTCAAGCATCATGACTGGAAGTTCCCAGCAGCAATCCCTCTATCAGCTCCTCTATGGAGAACGATACATCTTTGAGGAAGTCCTGGGCTTGAAGTTTCGCATCTCTCCAGATGCCTTTTTCCAAATCAACACAGCTGGGGCAGAAGTTCTGTACCAGATAGTTGGGAAGTTAAGCCGGGATGATAAGAACACTGTCCTTCTTGATGTCTGCTGTGGAACTGGTGAGAACTGACAATGCAGTGGGGTCGACACAAGTCTGTGTTTGACAAGGTCATGATTTTATTCTGGGTGTGAAGGATGTGGTCTCTCCAGAATTTAACCACTGTCTTGCTCCCTATTTCTTCATCTTAAAACCTTGAATTTCTTTCTCTCTCTCTTGTTTTCCAGGTGCCATTGGTCTCTGTCTGGCTTGCCAAGCACCTAAGGTTGTTGGTGTCGAGGTGGTGGAGCAGGCTGTAGAGGATGCCAAATGGAATGCAACATTCAATGGTGTGAGGAAGGAGTTTAAAATCCATTGGTGAAAAATACAAAGTATCTCCTAAGTGGAGGGCTCCTAACAGTCCCAAGGTGGCCTGCAGATGTTCCAGTAAAGGGGAGAAGCTTTGTGGTATAACCACCTCAATCCTCCTTTTCCTGCTTCACAACAATGCTCCTCCCCCCGTTTCTATTAACTCTGTGACGTGAAAGGGGCATGAAATGGTCTTGGTGGCTAAAGAGAATGGAGGGAGATGAGAGAATGGCTGTGGGAATGGCAGTGGAGGACTATCTAGACTTGATGTCAGGTCCTTCTGCCTTTTCTACCTCCACATTGCAAAATGGGCAAAGATTAACATGTGCTCTGACCCACGCTCCCAGACGAGCATGCCATCTTGGGTTACACACACACCTCAGGGCTTTGAGTCTAGATGATGGGGGGTATGGACAAGAACTTGCGGCTCCCCACATGGAAAGTCAGCAATGTTCACTTATCTTTAGAGGAAAACTGGGGTAAAGTGGCAAGGGAAGGAGATGATCCAGGAGGGTGCAGGTAGGGAGAATCCCTAAGATGTTCTGTGTTGACATGGAAAGCATCCCTATGCCAGGTATGCATTTCTCAGGGAGACACCCTCTTGGGATGAGAGACCCTGAGGTTTGCTGTGCCTGAGGGTCCTCTCTCTTCATCTTCCAGTGGGGTTGATTCTGTGCCTGCAGGGAGCATTTGGGTGAATGATTTTTCTGCACAGGGGTCTCAAACTGTGGGTATCACAGTGGAAAGGCGGAGACGGTGTTGCTGCAGTTCCTGATGTCACGAGAGGATGACCGACTCCTTGTTGCAGGGGTGAACCCATCCCGGGCTGGACTCCGTAAGAGAACATATTCTTTCTTTTTGAGACCTGACAATATCTCTCTTGTTTTGAAGGAACAAATACAGAAAAGAAAAAAAACTTTAAATAGAAATGTAGGAAGTGTCATATTGTCATAGCCCATTTAGTTGAGCATGCTGGCATCAAAATGGCCAACAGCAGGTGCTTCAGAGGAAAGTGCAAGAAACTCTGCAGTAGGCACTTACAGAATAACCTTGTCCTCAATTATGAATTGTGGCAATGAGTTCTACAGGCTAACTGTGCATTGTATGAAAGAGTATTTCCTTTAATTGGATTAAAATATGATGCCTTTCAATTTCATCGAATGTCCCTCTTGCTCTAGTTTTGAGAGAGGTTGAGTAGCACTGCCTTATCTACCTTCTCTATACCATTCATTATTTTTCTATGGCCTTTACCAGTTTTCCTCTTTAAACAGTTGCAATCTTTTAAATCCGTCTTGATATGGGAGTTTGTGCATGCTTCTCATCAATTTGGTGAGTAAGTTCATCTGCCACCCTTCATTCCTTGGGAAGATGAGACAAGCTCCCTCACTTCAGTGCTCTGCCTGAACAAGCTTGCATCCTATTTGTGTGGTCTGCCTTGCAATGGTGACACTAACCTGCCACTTTGGACCCTAACAATGTGAACTCCCTTGCACCTGAGCACTGTCTGTTCCCCCTGCTGCCTTTCTATTTTCCCTCTGTTAAGGGTGATTGGTTTTGGTCATCCAAATGTAGTTCTGTGATGCTGGCCTAAAAGGAAAATGTTGACCAGTTCTTAGGAAAATCTCTATTCTGTGGGTGTTTTTCTATGTAAATGTCTGATGTTTTTCTGCTCTCAGATTATCGTGTGGTGCAGGCCATTCAAAACTGCGAGGCCATCCGTACGTTGATCTATGTTTCCTGCAAGCCTGAAAGAGAAGCCATGAGGAACTTCCTTGAGTGAGAAGGAGCCCTTTTTTTTTGGTTTTGTCTCTACTGTTATGAGGGAGACGTGCCATGCCCAGAGGAAAAGAGCACAACAAATTGCTTGGGGAGGTTTTCATTTGGTCTGAACCTTATTGGGGTTGGCCTTGTAAGGTTCAGCCCTGCCCGCCCAGCAGTTACTACACCTGTGTGCCTACTGGTGTGTCTATTCACAAGTTGCACATTGTGATAAAAGACTTCCGGGTCACTGTAAAGAGTTCAGTGAGGATGTGGGTTCAGTGGGGAACTGCTGTTCAAAAAGAGGGGAGGGGGGAAAAGCAAGTGAGATGCTTAAATGCATTCATAGATGGATAGAAAATAATGCAAAACTTATTCTAATGGCACTGAATCAAACAAGCAGCATGCCTTCATCTGGGTTACTGTATCCAATATATTCACCGTAAAGAAAATAGGTTCCCATCTGGCAAATTAAGTCAATGGGACCATTCACATGCTTATAGTTAATCACATGGCTAAGTATTTTGCGGTGTCAGGGCCATATAGCAGACAACGAAAGGTCTGCAGAAGAACAATGAAGATGGTTAGATAATGCAAAACCTAGGATTATTTTCTAACGGTATAAAGCCTTTCCTAGCTCTGGCGTTTTGTGAGAAATCAAATCTTAAATTTGTCTCTGATCATTCAGATTAGCCATGCTTTATTGGAGTTGGTCCATGTCAAGGTTCCTTCCCCACTCTGAACTCTAAGGTACAGATGTGGGGACCTGCATGAAAGATCCCCAAGCTTATTTTTACCAGCTTAGGTTAAAACTTCCCAAGGTACAGACTTTGCCTTGTCCTTGGACCATATGCTGCCACCACCAAGTGTGTTAAACAAAGAACAGGGAAAGAGCCCACTTGGAGATGTCTTCTCCCAAAATATCCCCCCAAGCCCTATACCCCCTTTCCTGGAGAGGGTTTGATAAGAATCCTTACCAATTCGTACAGGTGAACACAGACCCAAACCCTTGGATCTTAAGAACAATGAAAAATCAATCAGGTTCTTAAGAGAAGAATTTTAATTAAAAAAAAGGTAAAAGAATCACCTCTGTAAAATCAGGATGGTAAACACCTTATAGGGTAATCAGATTCAAAACATCAAGAATCCCTCTAGGCAAAACCGTAAGTTACAAAAAGACATAAAATCAGGAATATACATTCCATTCAGCACAGCTTATTTTACCAGCCATTAAACAAAAGGAAATCTAATGCATTTCTAGCTAGATTACTTACTAACTAACAGGAGTTGTAAGGCTGCATTCCTGATCTGTTCCCGGCAAAAGCATCACACAGACAGACAGACCCTTTGTTCCCCCGCCTCCAGATTTGAAAGTATCTTGTTCTCTCATTGGTCATTTTGGGTCAGGTACCAGCTAGGTAACCTTAGCTTCTTAACCCTTTACAGGTGAAAGGGTTTTGTCTCTAGCCAGGAGGGATTTTATAGCACTGTATTCACAAAGGTGGTTACCCTTCCCCTTATATATATGACAATCCGGGACTGAAGAGAGCAGGTTCCAGACCTCAACCCAGTGTCAGTGTCAGTCTGAGTGGTTGTTCTTTCCCAAATAATAAGTATCTTTAATATATCTTCTGATTCTTCATGGGTCAGCTATTACTAAAGAAAAGGAAATGGAGAGGGGAAGGATTTTAGAAACACAGACAACATTCCTCTGGCTCTGGATTAATGGGGAAACTGATGCCTTTTGCTCCTTCTTTTTTTATAGGTTTTGCTGCCCACCAGACTCTGGGAAGAAGCTTGTGAGAGAGCCATCTGCCCCTCTATTGGCTGTCCCAGTTGACATGTTTCCCCAAACCATGCACTGTGAGCTGGTGATCCTCTTCACCCGCTGAGGGGCCGTCCTAGTTTGTGTTTTCCTACAAAACAGGACTTCATACCTTTTAAAAGTTGAGGGTGAGGAAGAACTACAAATGTTCAGAAAGCTGGAATGGTCATGGCTCTGATTTAATTTATTCTTTTGAAAGTTGTAAATTAAAACTCTTTTGGGAATTCTCAGCCTGCCTCGCTGTGCTGTCCCTTGCATATCCTATGAAGTACGAAGCCAGTGTGTACTGAGATTTTCTGTGTGAAAAGATCCTCTGTTGTAGTTTCTCTTTCCCACTCAATCCCTATCCCCTTTGCCAGGCGATCAAAATGGCTTAGACACCTCTTAAGCCCTACTCTGCTGTTCTGGGTTTTCATGGGTAGGATTTGGTGAAACTGCTTTAAATATACTAAATACAAGTCAAATCCTTTGTACTTTTAGTACTATTGCCATGTTATTTAGATATCATTAAACTAGGGCTGTTGATTAATTGCAGTTAACACACATGATTAAAAAAATATTAATCGCGATTAAAAAATTGATTGTGATTAATTGCACTGTTAAACAATAGAATATCAATTGAAATTTACTAAATATTTTTGGATGTTTTTCTTCATTTTCAAATATATCGATTTCAATTACAACACAGAATACAAAGTGTGCAGTGCTCATTTTATATTATTTTTATTACAAATATTTGCACTGTAAAAATGATAAACAAAAGAAATTGTATTTTTCCGTTCACCTCATATAAGTACTTTAGAGCAATCTCTTTATCATGAAAGTGCAACTTTCAAATGTAGGATTTTTTTGTTACATAACTGCACTCAAACAAAACAATGTAAAACTTTAGAGCCTACAAGTCCACTCAGTCCTACTACTTGTTCAGTCTATCGCTAAGAGAAACAAGGTTTTTACATTTACAGGAGATAATGCTGCCCACTTTTTAATTATAATGTCACCTGAAAGTGAGAACAGGTGTTTGCATGCCACTGTTGTAGCTGGCGTTGCAAGATATTTACGTGCCAGACGCACTAAAGATTCATATGCCTCTTCATGCTTTGGCCATCGTTCCAGAGGACATGCTTCCATGCTGATGATGCTTGTTAAAAAAATAATGCGTTAATTAAATCAGTGACTGAACTCCTTGGGGGAGAATTGTATATCTACTGCCCTGTTTTACCCGCATTCTGCAATATATTTCATGTTATAGCAGTCTCGAATGATGACCCAGTACATGTTGTTCGTTTTAAGAACACTTTCACAGCAAATTTGACAAAATGCAAAGAAGATACCAATGTGAAATTTCTAATGACAGCTACTGCACTCGAACCAAAATTTAAGAATCTGAAGTGTCTTCCAAAATCTGAGAGGGATGAGGTATGGAGCATGCTTTCAGAGGTCTTAAAAGAGCAACAGTCTGATGCAGAAACTACAGAACCCAAACCACCAAAAAAGAAAATCAACTTTCTGCTGGTGGCATTTGATTCAGATGATGAAAATGAACATGTGTCGGTCCGCACTGCTTTGAATTGTTATCGAACAGAACCCGTCATTAAGCGTATGACTTCTGGAATAGTTGTTGAAGCATCAAGCGACACAAAAATCTTTAGCACATCTGGCATGTAAATATCTTGCGACACCGGCTACAACAGTGCCATGAGAATGACTGTTCTCACTTTCAAGTGACGTTTTAAACAAGAAGCAGGCAGCATTATCTTCTGCAAATGTAAACAAACTTATTTGTCTGAGCAGATTGGCTGAACAAGGACTTGTAGGCTCTAAAGTTTTCCATTGTTTTGTTTTTGAATGCAGTTTTTATTGTACATAATTCTACATTTGTAAGTTCAACTTTCATGATAAAAAGTTTGCACCACAGTACTTGTAGTAGGTGAATTGAAAAATACTATTTCTTTTGTTTTTTACAATGCAAATATTTGTAATCAAAAATAAATATAAAGTGAGCGCTGTATACTTTGTATTCTGTGTTGTAATTGAAATCAATATATTTGAAAATGTAGAAAACATCCAAAATATTGATTTAAATAGTATTCTATTATTGTTTAATAATGCGGTTAATCGTGTGATTAACTTTTTTAATCGTGTGATTAATTTTTTTAATCGCTTGACAGCCCTACATTGAACCAATTAGATAATTAAGATGAAAGAAATCCATGGTGACATTAAGTAGGATAAAATTGCAGGGACTATTAATCCTCATGCTTCATGGCAGAATCTGATCACCTGTTAGGGTCAGGAAGACATTTCTCATATAAACCCCAACTACAAAGTGCAAAATCTAACACTGACCACTGTTGGAGACAGGCTACCCCACTAGCTGGACCATCAGTCTGTTTGGAAATGGCTATTTGTATGGGGAGAAAATGAGGAGAAAACAGATTTCAGAGTATCTCCCCTCCACATATACTTCCTCTCCTATATATTGCTGATCCCTGCAATATGAATTGTCCCTGCAAGATGCCAGCAGCAAACTGCCATTTTCTTATTGCATTCACTGTAAAGTAGTCTGCACTGTCCGATTCAGAAATCTGGCCTTTCTCGTATTTGTACTGCAATCCACACTCTTTAACATTCTGTATCACTCCATTTACCCTTATACTTTGCTGATTAACAGCTCACCCAGTTCTTCAAATGATGATGTTGTGACAGATTGGGGACATCAATTTGTCAAATTGTGAACCCCATCTTGTTTCAGGGGCTCTACTTTGTTTGTAATTTTCATTTTGGAGTATGACCTTTGATATATTGGGGCTTGATACCCTGTGGAAACACTATGTCCGAGAAATTATGGCAGAGCCCTTGGTGTTGAATGGCTTGAACAATGGTTTTCTACCTGTTGGGCTATTTACTTTTAAATGACTCTCTATACAGAGCTGACGTGGACAGGGAGGGGCCTCCAAAGAGGACTACAACCCAGAACTTCCCCATAGTTAGCATATGGGTAAAAGAGGAACAGACACTATTTTAGAGCCACTGTGACATGCAAAGAGCCCAGGTCTAGAAGGCAGGAAGGGCTGCCTGGCCTAAGGACTTGGACCAGACCCATGACTCACAGGAGGGATGAGATCAGACCAGAGGAACTGAATTCAGGATTTTGTTGTTTTCCATAGATATGTATCTCTCTAGGGTTGTTTAAGAGTAAAGTGTCTGTGGACAAGAAATTCCTTTGCTAAGTCTGTGTTCCTTACTGTACTGCCACATTATCTATAAAGGGGTAACTAAGAAACCAAAGCTCCCATGGCCAGGTGTACTCTGTGGAAAAACGTGTCTAAACCACTGGGGCTTGGGAAAGCTGTGGCAGTGGTTCCATGGTTTAGGCCAGGGGTTCTCAAACTGGGGGGTTGGGACCCCTTAGGGGCTCACAGGGTTATTATATGGGGGGTCACGAGCTGTGTTTCCACCCCAAACCCTGCTTTGCCTCCAGCATTTATAATGGTGTTAAATATATAAAAAAGTGTTTTTAATTTATAAGGGGGGTCGCAGTCAGAGGCTTGCTATGTGAAAGGGGTCACCAGTACAAAAGTTTGAGAACCACTGGTTTAGGCAGAGGAACTATAGGTTTCCACTGCCTAAGAAGGGTGTCAGACACAGGGTCTACACCTCGGAGTGTGTCTAAGAGACCGAGAACAAGGAACAGTGACCAGTCACTATCCAGAGGCAGCAGGCTTTGGAGCAAGTGGGCCCAGAAGTTGGGTCCCTTAACAACAGGCTGGGGCCCATTCAGAAGAGGGGCCAGGCCAATTATTACAGAGGCAGTGTCTGACACCTTTCTTAGGCAGTGGGCCTAATTTTTTTGTTTTCCGCTAGCCCACTGATACAGGGTAGCCCTATGATGAATTGGGGTTCTGTCTGTACCACTTCTGAGTTTTGGATGATTGTATGAAATCGTATTATGAATTTACTCTGTCATGGAAAGCCTATATCTACGGGAATCTACCACGAGTTAGAAGGGTTGGGTCATGTCGCTGCCAAGCCACAGACAATGGTGAATGATGAGCACTCAACTATCATCTATTCAGAGTAAAAAACACTTTAGGACAATTGGTTTGCTCTACCTGGGAGAAAATACTTCCTTCTCTTGTATGAAAGGAAGGGGATTTGGGAGTAACGGAAAATTATCACAAGGTGGAACAAAAGAAGCAAGTGACCCCAGCAGGAGTCTATAAAGGGGTACTTGGGGGGAGGGAGCCATCTTGCAGCAGATTAAGATGAGAAAGGCTGCTGCAGGGCAGGGTAGGCAAGAGGATGGAGGACCCTATCTGCCAGAACACAGATGATCCCCCAAGGGAACAGGAAGCTAGGAGGGACACTGCATTTAGGATGCTTTATTGTTTTGTGTGATCTAAATGTAACGAGCATAAAGTTGATACACAACAAAGTGTGTGCATGTTGACTGCTGCACAGCTACTGCATGCCCCAGGATGTTAAACTGTAAGCCATAAGCGTCTCACCTTTTGAGGTGGAATTCTGGGAGAGGGGTATGTTTGAGTCCTGGGAAGTCTGAATTGTCAGTTGTGCCCAAAAGGGCTAGACGGCTGGACAGCAGGTTCCTACACTTGGAGTGGGTGCCAGAGAGAAGGTCAGCATCCTGAGCATATGGTTCAGGACCCAGAGATTGGGGTAGTGGCTGGACTCCATTCAGGCTCCAGGAGCTTAAAACACCCCTAGGAATCCAAAGCTTGGCTTTTCGAATAAATTCTGCTCAGCCAGGGTACATTTTTGTCAAAAAGAAAGTGACATTGTTTGCATTGTAAATTGGAGAAGAGATGATGAATTTAAATCAATGGGTAAAGGATTTAGAGAGACACTTCATCTGTGTATTGAGCCCTCGGATTAAACATATGGAGCAAAGAGCTATATATCTTGTCTCTGAGCTGAGGGTATGAGTTAGTGGGCTGAGTTTCAGCTTTTAAACACCAGACTCCACTGGAACCCGCCACAGACTCAAATTGCAGCAGGGATGACTCCATCTTTTATCCTTCTGTTGTAGATAAATTGAGCATCACGCAATTTTCTGTTTGTAACATTTGAATGAGCCCTTGCAAACTGAAGGGCAGACTGCTCTGCCTGAGCATTAACAATCATAGAGCGCCTTTTCTAAGGATAG